GGCCCCAACAGGCACACATCATTGATTTGCCCTAGGTGTTGCAAGGATTTTGGAGGTCTCGCCTTTTCGGGTTCCCGACGCTCCACGACGGCCCACGAGGCCCCCAAAATCGCCCCAAGACGGCCCCAAGCTCCTAAAGACGGCCTTAGAAGGCCCGAAGGCGGCCCAAGAGGCGCCCAAGACGGCCCAAGAGAGTCCAAAGACGGCCGGGAGAGGGGGTCCAGATGGGGAACCCGTACAAACATTCGGAGCCCTCGGATGGGCCCCCAGGAGGCCCCAAGAGGCCCCCAGGGGGCCCCAAGAGGCTTTCAAAAGGCCCCATGAGGCCCCCAAGAGATCCCCCAGAGGCCCTCAAGAGCTCCCCCCCGAGAGCGCTCCGAAGAGACCCGAAGACGCATCCCTGAGAACTCTGACCCACAACCCAGGCACGGGGGCGGGATGGGCCAAAGGCCATCTATCTATGCATTTGGCTTATATGTATATATGTGCTTATTTGTTTCTTTAGAGACATACATCGACACGTACATCCAAGTAAACGTAGAGGAATCAGACGTGCAGACCATGTGAGATGGCGCCCCTCCGACGGCCCGGCAGCATCCCTCGCCCACTGCTCCCTGGAGCCTGTTTTTTTTAGACTATGGCAAATTTACTTGCATGGACGGGGGGGGGGGGCTGAGCCTGAAGCAAGCCTGGGGGGGGGGGGGGCGCGGAAATCACGCAAGTCGAAAGGCACTTGCACGCTAGTATTCGCTTGATGAGGGGCGAGGGGGGGAGGGGGGGGCGCGAACGCCATGCAAGTAAACTTGCCTGAATCCAAAAAAACAGGCTCCCCCCGGGCGCCAGGCGCGGGCAGACTCCGGCGCGCGCCAGACCCGGGAAAGGGGGGGGGGCGCCGGACCCTCGGCGCCGCGACGGTGCTCTGACCGCACACCAGACCACCCCGACCCAACCCGAAGGCCCGAAGTTCGGGTTGGGGGGTGCAAGGGTTCCACAGATGATTCTTCGACGCTTCCCGACCCCCCCCCACTGGAAATCGAGGATCAATCTGAGCCTTCGGGTTGGGTCGGGGTGGTTTGGTGGGTGGTGCTTCTTGACGTGAAGCAGCACGAGGTCTTGTGCTGCATCTTCGGGGGACCTTGTCTGTCCCTTCGCGCCACCATCCGCCCGAATCCGTGTCTAACCTGTGTCATCCGCGTCGAAGCCACGCCAAGTCCACGTGGAGTCCGCATCGAAACCGCGCTGGGCGCACAAGAGAAGAGACACCCGTTGGGGGGACAAACAGGGCCCCCCCTAAGATGCAACGTGAACGGTCTGGACCAGAAGCCCTCGCTCCTTCCGAGCAGCTTTCTGTGTCCTCGGGGAGGGCCTTTCTCAGAAGGCTGGGGGGCTTCTGAGCCTTCTGAGAAGGTCCACCCCCTCTCACGCCCCCCCGGGCGCGCCGCCGACTCCTCGAAGGCCCTCAGCGGGGCCCTGAAGTCGGCGCGTGGGCCCCTCGCCCCTGCTCTGGCTGCTGCCACTGCCGCCTGGGGACCGGCTTCTCGTCATGCGCTGTTCTTTGATGGACCCGGGGCGCGGCAAGTGCCCCAGAGGCCGAAAGCCACAGAGCCGCCCGTCGTGGTACCCTCTCGGGGAGACGTAAGACTCGGGTACGGGGGACTCGGGTTGGCCTGACGGGGCATTCAGGAAAACGACGAGGCCCACTCTGAAATTTGACGCGAGCTCCAGCTGCAAACACCCCACGAAAACTGGACCGTCAAAATCCAAGACGCGCTCGCCAAAAAGACGTCGACAAACCCGAGTCCCAGCGCACTCGTGCCTTACGTTATGTCGGGCCTGTCCCTCTACAGGAGGAATATTCAAAAATAGTCAAAAAATCGTATGGGGACTATTGCTTATTATTTTTGATAAATGGTGAATATGTTGTATTCTCCTGCACAAGGTGTCTAGAGCTCCGACCAATTTATTCCGCGTCGCACCCCCCCCCTGCGTCCCCAGCGCCAGAGTGGGACCCCCGCGCCGTGCCCGAGCCCCCCCGCGTCCCCAGCGCCCCAGCGGGAGCCCCGCCCACTGCCCCCTCCGCTTCGGACGCTTTATTCCGCGTCCCCCCCCCCCCCCCCCCCGCGTCCCCAGCGCTAGAGTGGGACCCCCGCGCCGTGGCTCTCTGCCCCGAGCCCCCCCAGCGTCCCCAGCGCCCCAGCGGGAACCCTGTCCACTGCCCCCTCCGCCACGGACGCTGCGTCGCCCCCCCCCCCCCCCTCCCCGCGTCCCCAGCGCCAGAGTGGGACCACCGCGCCGTGGTTCTCTGCCCCGAGCCCCCCCACGTCCCCAGCGCCCCAGCGGGAGCCCCGCCCACTGCCCCCCCCGCCACGAACGCTTCATCCCGAGTCGCGACGCACACTACCTCCCCTAGCTCTCTCCCCGGGTCCCCAGCGCTTCAGTGGGGGCTCCGCCCCATCGCCCCTCCGCCCCGACAATGTTATTTCTTGTCGCGACGCACACCACCTCCCCCCCCTCCCCTCCCCGTCCCCAGCGCCCCAATTAGACCCCCGCCCCGTGGCCCTCTGCCCCAAGCCCCGTCCAGTGCCCCCTCCGCCCCGAATATTTTATTCCGCGTCGCGACGCACACCACCTCTCCCCCCCCTCCTCTCCGCGCCCACAGCGCCCCAGTGGGACCTCCGCCCCGTGCCCCCTCCGCTCCGAGCACTTCATTCCGCGTCGCGACGCACACCACCTCCCCCCCCCTCCCCACTTGGGATTTGGGCCCCGTTGCTGGGCCCCGAGGGGCGATGTCTTGCCCCCTATTCCCCCTCCTCCTCCACCTCCTCCTCCTCCTCCCCCCCCCCCGTTTTGTGCAAGGGCCATGGCTCACGTGCCACTTGCTCTTCGTCCAAGATCCCCCTGTGTAGGGGGGCCAGGCCCGACCTGAGCCCTACGCTTCCCCGGCCAGAGGGAGCCCCCCGGGATCTGGCGCCCACTCGCCCCCGAGCAGAAACTCCAGCGGGAGGCACAGTCCCGCAGGTCGGCGGCCCAGATGGCTCGGAGCACGGCCACTCGGAGACAAGAACGGACCTTCCTGGAGGGGCCCTGGGACATACAAATAAATTCGCACCAGTAGCAGGGTTCCCCCTGTTTCTCAATATGTTCTGGGTTTTTGTCTTTCCCCCCACTTCCCATGTTGTCCCATATTCTCCGGGGGATCGACGATTAATTGTGTCTGTGTGTTTTTTCCCCTCCTGACTTCCGCCGGGCCCAAGTCCGCTCTCCGCTCGAAATGCACCCCTCCCTGCAGGAAGCTTTCGGCGCCAGAGCAGCAGCGTCGTCGTCGTCGTCGTCGTCGTCGTCGTCGTCGTCGTCGTCGTCGTTGTCGTCGTCTTCGTCGTCATCGTCGTCGTCGTCCTCCTCCTCCAGGGTCGGCGGCACCGGCTGTACAACCTTCGCAATCGGTCCACGGACCCCTCCCCGGGGCCTTCCTGACCCGCTCTTCGAGGTGGATCCCGCCGTGGCGACGAGAGGCCTCCAGGAGGCCGAGAAAGGCCGAGCAACGCCATCGAGGGCCGCCGCTGCCTCTCCGGCCCCCCCCCCTCCAAGGGGGGGATCTGGAGTTCTGAAGGGGAACTGGGACACACAAATAAATGGACACAAATAAACAGATTCCCCATAGTTTCCCATATGTTTGGGGTTTTTGTCTTCCCCCCCACTTCCCATATCTTCCTATATTCTCCTGGACTTCGACGATTGATTGTGTCTGTGTGTTTCTTTCCCTCCTGAAGTTCACTCGCCCAGGCCGCCGAACACCAGCGAGAGGCACTCCCGCAGGTTGGCGGCCCAGATGCTCCTGAGGGGCAACGCCCCCGGGGGGACGGGCTCACGGGGAGAGGCATCGGCCTGGAATCGGCGATACGTCGCCGAGGAGGAGGAGGAGGAGGAGGAGGAGGAGGAGGAGGTGGGAAGAGGAGGGAGGAGCGAGGAGGAGGAGGAGGAGGAGGAGGAGGAGGAGGAGGAGGAGGAGGAGGAGGAGGAGGGGGAGGAGGAGGAGGAGGTGGGAAGAGGAGGGAGGAGCGAGGAGGAGGGGCTACGTGGAGCATGGCGAGTTCGCTCGAGTAGGAGAGCAGCTACAGAAGTGATGTACCCCAAAAGTGGTGTTGTTGTCGACTGTCGAAGGAATACGTAGCAGCCCACGAGCAGTTCATTTTTCGTTTACAGCTGCGACGAAAAATCAATTTCGGGGTAAATCGATTCTGCAGTTGATCTCCTACTCGATTCGCACGCTCCCAGGTGGGGCGGGCTATCGGGCTGCCCTCGGCGATCCATGAGCTATTTGGAGCCGATGCGCTCCCCCCTGAGCCCAGCCCCCCCGAACGTTGTCCTGGTCTTTTTCTCGGGCCACAACTCATCCCTCCGGCGGCCTTTCTCGGGAGGACCCGGGCACCCCGAGGCCGAGACCTCGGCGACGCGCAGCTGCCGGAGGGCATCCCGAGGCTGGAAGACCGCCGCGAGCCCGCGAACACACCCGAAGACCTCGAGCCTCGAACCTCGGCGATGCGCTCCAGCCTGCGGTCGGACACGTGTGCTCGGCGTGCCGCGGCGGCGGCCCCGGCGACGCGCCGTGCCCTGCGAGCGGACAGCGTGCAGCTCCGAGCCGTGGGGCGGGAGGCTGGGCTCGGGAGAGCTCGGGACGCCGCCCTCGGTGGCAACGCATGGGAGCATCCCATACCCTCTCGCTGGCTCCTGCGAATCGACGCTAACCGACGCTAAATCGACGCTAAATCGACGCTACATCGACGCTAATCGACGCTGGTCGACGCTCATCGACGCTAATTTGTCGCTAAATCATCGATTGCCAGACGCTGATGGCCGCTGGTGCCCTCTAAAGACAGAATTGCGAGGGTACACGCTGCTCCCACGATTTGAAGCCGAAGGACTAACGTGTCGCGCCGGAGCGCGGTGGGCCAGAACTGGCGGCGCGACACGCTCAAGCCAAAGCTCCTGGCCGCATCCCCCCCTAACCCAGACCCCCGACGTCCTGATTCCTCCACGGCGTCGACCACCAGAAGTCTCGGCCCATCCCCCAGGGCCGGTTTCTTGCATCCTGAGTTGTCTTTTGACTTTTGACGCCCCTGGGGCCCAGTAAGAAAGGCATCCTGACTGGGGTCGGAGTAGATAGGGTCGGAGGATCGCGCCGCATCGCCGATGCATCGGCGATGCATAAGCGATGCATCAGCGAAGCACTGGCGATGCATCGTCGACGCGGGCGATGCAGCGGCGACGTCGACGTGAAGCAAATCGGGCTCCGCATCGAGCCGCATCGCCGAGGCATCGGCGATCCAGAGCGATCCTCCGACTCCATCTCCTCGGACCCCATCTAAGAGGCCTAGAAGTAAAGGCCCCAAGAGGAGTAAGAATAGCGAAAAACCGACCGGTGTGATTTTTCAATGACTCAAAAGGGTCTGCCGGCGGCGAGTCCAGGGGGGAAGTGAGAAGGGGCGGGCCTTCTCAGAAGGCTCGGAAGTCCGCCAGCCTTCTGAGAAACATTCCCAAGCCTTCCCCGAGGGCGCGGAACACTTTTCTCAGAGGGCGCGGGGGCTTCTGAGAGAAGTCCCATCCGCCTTCTGAGAAGGCCTTCTCCTTCTCACTTTCCTGGGTAGTCGAAGCCAATCTGGCAGGCCCAATCGGGCAAACGGGGGCAATCTGGCGAGGGAGCCAACGCGAATCCAGTCTGTCGAATAACCCAAATCATCCAGTTTGGCCAGGCCAGATTGGCCCGTGGGGCCCAATCCAATCTGACAGTCTGGCCTTCGACTACCCAGCTTTCCCCCCCCGCTCGCCGCCGAGCCCGGGAGCGCTGCCCCCGAGCTCCGCGGGATCTTCGACGGCCGCTGCACCCGCTCCACGGCGGCGCGCAGCTCGCCGTCGGGGGCGCAGCTCGCCGCCGCGGCGCGGAGCTCGCCGTCGAGCTCCAGGGCGACCTCTGCGGGCACGCTTCGCGGAAGAGCCCGCCTGCGATCCTTTTTCGCGGGAGCGCTCGTTTTTGGTACTCCAGATTTCGTAATAAAGGGAGGGGGGTCTCATTTCGGGGGGGGGTCTCTTCCAGGCTATCTTGGAGGGCCTGGGGGGTCTGGGGACGATGTTTTGGAGGGTTCTCCCACGGGGGAGGTCTGAAATGGCTTGTCTTGGAGGGTCCAGACCCCCTCCCGTTTATTACGAAATCTGGAGTAGCAGTCTGTCGGCCCGTGTCAGAAGGACGCACGGTACGGTGCGAGGGGCCTTGGAGGGCCGCTTCGACGTTCTTCGAGAGCGCCACGCGGCCAGTGAGAGTGGCTGAGGATGGACCGAGGCGGCACGGATGCAAGGGTAGCTACACGTCGTTCCTTTCTGATCGTGCCCATTTCTAGTTGTGTCGGTTTCTCATTGTTTCTGGCCCCCTAGTGGCCAGGAAGGGGCCCAGGATAGAACAATTAGAAATGACAGGATCTCGACCCCCAAAAAACCAAAGAACTTTCGAATAATGAGAAATGAAAAATGTGTCCCCCTGGGAAGGCTGTCAATCCTTACTATGCGGGTTAACTGTACTGTTCTCGAGAGCGCCCGTTTTCTTTTAACTACTCGCGAGAAGCCCCCGTCCGCACAACCCCCTCCTGGCCATACCTAAAGGCCCTGGCCAGCACGAGTCGTCACGGGCCCGTCTGTGCCCGAAAAGGCGAGAACCCGAAAAACCTTCAAAACCTGGGGAATTCATGTTTTTGGACTCCTGAGGCCCTCTCGAGGGCCTGTGGAGCCGTTTCGAGGCTCCCTTGGACCGTCTGGAGGCCATCTGAGGCTCTCTTGGGGCCGTGACCGCCCGTCTCCCCCCCGAGACGAAGCCGGGATCCTACGAGGAGAAGGGAACAACAACTGTCATAACCATAAACAAAAACTCGGAGGTCCGCGCGGACTTCTCGGATCGGCGCTGGACCCCTCTGCATGGCGCGCGGGGCGCGCCAAAGGCGGCGCCGGAGGCACCGCCGTGGGGCCCAGCGCCGATCCGAGAAATCCACGCGGACCTCCGAGTGTTCATGTTTGTGTAACTTTTCTGAAGGGGAACTGGAACACACAAATAAATACACACAAATAAAAAGATTCCCCATATTTTCACATATTTTCTTGGTTTTTGTCTTCCCCCCCACTTCCCATATTTTCCGATATTTTCTGGGAAATCGAGGATTAATTGTGTCTGTGTGTTTTTTTCCCTCCTGATTTTCGTTCCCCTTTACGAAGGCAGCATCAGGAGAATCTCTGAGCTCCGACGGACCTGGGGGATGTGTCGGGCGCGGGAGGCAGGCCAGTCGAGGCCACAGCGACGCTCCCCCACACTCTTCGTTTCTCTGTTTTATAAGCCTTCCTGGAAGCTCCTCGTGGCCACGGCGGGATCTGCGCCGAAAAACGGGTCGGCTACACGCAGGAGTGACATTGGTGAGGGTTTTTTCAGTGTGGGTTTAAGTCGGGCCTCTCCCCTTACAAAGGGTTTTTGGACGAACCATTGAACATAGTCAACCAATACACCCAAATGGCAAAAACAGATCAGCCAACGTTGACTTCAAATATATTAGACGACTCAAATTAAGGAATCAGAGGAACCAAGCATGCTTGGAATCCGCAACTCAGCAAGCAAGCAAGCATGCAAGCAAGCGGGCAAGCAAGCAAGCACGCAAGCAAGCGTGCAAGCAAGCGCGCAAGCAAGTAAGCAAACAATCAAGCAAGCAAGCAAGCAGGCATAGGCATAGGCGTAGGAGTAGGAGTAGGAGTTAAGGGGGAGGCATCGGCATAGGCATAGGCATAGGCATAGCCATACAAATTAGGGGGGCATAGGGATTAGGGGGGGGGCACGGACCGATCAGTAGGGTTTGGTAAATATTAAAAAAATCGTCCCCAGATTATGTCTTGACTGTTGATAACTCTTCCTCCTGCAGAGGGACAGGCCCGACCTAAGCCTGGGTCAGAGTGACCTCTGGTGCGCGTTTTTTTGGGGGGGGGGAGGGCCGGGGGGGGGAGCCAGACGCGGGCACGCGAGGCGCTGCGATCGCACACCGCGCTCGGCGGGATCGGGGGGCCCCGCTGGGCCCGCACCAAAAAGTTCACTCTGGCGGAGGGCCACTCCTGGCGAGCCGCTTTTGATTCGGCGTTTCGGCAACGGCCGCCGACGGCCTCGGCCACGCTCGGGCCGTTTGGCACTCACCCGGTGGACGGCGGCATGCCTTGGGACGCGCGAGGACATGCTCGCACTGTGTGTCCTCCTTGGAGGCGTGCGTCCGACCCGAACAGAAAGTATAACGCACAGTGAGCTTTCTTTGATTCGGCGTTTCGACATTGGGCGGGAGGGGGGGGGGGATGGGGGGGGTCTGGCTCCAGACCTCTGCTTGGTGCGACTGTTTGCAGCGGTGCGTCCTGTGGGGGAGGCTCCACCCGCTCGAAACAGGCGCCGAAAAACAACCAAGATCTACTCCATGGGGGGAGGGGGTGCGAGAGCCCGCGCCAGTCGGCACAACGAGGAGAACAAAAACGATCACTCTTACGCGCAGCCGAAACATGTCGGGAAGGCCTCGGGGAGGGCCGGTCCAAGGATCGATCTTGAGCGGATCTGGGGCCGGGCGAGGCAGCCGCCGTCGTCTCAACTGGCCCATCTTCGAACTCTACCTCCAGGGCTCGACCGAAGCAACGTTTTCGTTTTCGTTTTGTGTTCGCTGTCCTTCGTTGTGTCTCCGACCCGCCTCGGCTGCAAAACGAACTCGACACGAAGACGGCCCACGAAGTCGCCCAAACACCGTTTAGGTCGACCCCTGTTCACCTCCACATCCATGGCGTTCTGGACGTCTGGGGAAGGGATGCCCCAAAACCGAGACGCGGCGGATACGGTATACAACAACTGGACTCTATGATTGTGGATGCCATGACAATGGACACTCTCACAGTCCTATCATTGAATTAAACATGCGATTAAAATGTAGGGAAAATGTCCCAACAGTGTTTCAAACATACTTTTTACATATTTAGCAAATGTTTGAAACATCTTTCAGACATCTGGAAAGTATTTGGCAACATGCTTCCTCTCCATTGATCGTCCTCCAGAACTCCATGAAACCACTGTGTCATCCATACCCTGCCCGCTGCGTCGGCGCAGCGGACATGGACACGAGCACAAGCAGCCCATCTAGTGAGGATGCGCGGTGGGGTTGCAAGTGCGGGGCGGGGATTTATCCATATAGGGAATCGAACTCTATACACCGACGCTTCTTCGAACGGATCCTGGTGTATACGGGACTCTGGTGTATACGTGTTCCGTTGTTTCCCCAAGACATCGGGGAACAAAGTATACACCACACCACCCCAGCGTCGTCCTCGACCCTCAAGAAGTCCTGGGATAGAGCAACAACCCGCCACTGGTAATGTATATATGTTCCAGTTTCCGACCATATCCACCGCCTGGGAACCGACATCCTGGTGCCCCGACGGGCGGTGCATATGGATGTAGTTTGGCCCCTGGGGGCCCGAATATGTCCTTATCCACCGCCTGCCGAGGTCCACGAACATTGATCTCCAGGCGGTGGTCATGTATATATTCCCGCCTCGAAACTCGAAGCAAGGGCCTCGGGCGCCTATGCCGAGGCTCTTCGAGCGGGGATGGCCGCAGAAATGACCGAAGAGGCAAGGATGCGAGGATGCCCTTGGGAAGTCTATCATCCTCACTACCAAGGCTGTCTGCATTGCCCGCGACCTCCGTGATGCCGTGGAACTTGTCCATGAGCACCCAGGACGGCCAGCCGGACAGGAGCCTCCACACCTGGAGGAGGAGAGAGCGGGGGCGACGGCGAAGACTGGCCGCGGAAGCGTCCTGTCGATCTTGATCAGCGCCAGTGTTTCGCGGCGCGCAGAGGGGGGGTTCGGGGGAGGGGGGAATGCTTCTTAGAAGCCTTCCGCCCTCCCCCCGAACCCCCCCATTCTGCCCGAGGCCGAATCTCGGCGGTGGAAAAACCTCCCTTGAAAAAAAAACAGCCCCTTAGTGAAAACGGCCTGGGACCGAAACCGACGGACCCAGACCCGCAAAAACGACGGCCGCGACGCCCTCTCGCGAACTGAAAACGGCCGATTCCTTAATCGACGTGTCATGGTAGGAGGTTTGTCCACCTCCGAGAGTCTTGACCAGCGTCAACTCGTGGGTCATCCTCGCGAAGCGGCAACGGCCAGATGGGCCCTGACCGCGGTCGGCGTCGACGAGATCCCGCGCCAGCGTGGTTTTTATGGGAGGAGGCCGCTCCTGGGAGAACAACCCTCGCCAGACAGACCACGGGCGAGTGAGTCCCGATGCAGGAGGCCACTGGGCCGGACTCGTGTGCTGGGGGCTCGGGTTGGCCTGGCGGGGCCGTCAAGAGAGAAAACAAGTGGTACAGTCGGACTTGATTGGACAGGACACGCGAGAGGACAAAAGACCCCTCCGAGGGCCACATTGCCATAGGAATGCAGGAGGCACGGGTCGCGAGACACGGGACACAAAGGTACCCTTGATTTGGCAGGGTCGACCTACTAATCTGGGCCGACTGTACGCGTGCCCTGGCTCTTGCACCGAGGAGCTGCGAAGGACAGGAGGCGTTCGCCTCCTTCCTCCAGGAGCTTCCCTCTGTGGCCGGGAGGGGGAAGGGGGAAGGACGAACCACGAACGAACGAGCGAACGACGACGAAAATTACTCACTTCGTGGAGCTCCCCACATGTGCATCTCATGTTTTATCTTATGCCGTAATGAGCGTCTGTTCATGAGCGTTTGACTACAATAGCCCGTCCACGTTGGCGACAGGCCCGACGAAGATCTCCTCCACCTCCACCTCTTACTCTTACTCCTCCTCCTCCTCCTCCTCCACCTCTTACTCTTACTCTTACTCTTACTCTTACTCCTCCTCCTCCTCCTCCTCCTCCTCCTCCTCCTCCTCCTCCTCCCCCTTTCCTCCATCCTCACAATCTGCGATGAAAGCCAAGGATGTTGGGCATGAAAATGAGCAAATCACCTGAGACATCCCCACAAACTGGCCGCGAACGGGCCCGTGATATACCCCCTGGCGGCTCCCCTTAGAGGTGCTGAAACCAGCGCCCCGCCTGAGACATCCTCACAATCTGCTATGAAAGCCAAGGAAATTGAGCATGAAAACGAGCAAGCCGCCTGAGACATCCCCACAAACTGGCCGCGAACGGGCCCGTGATATACCCCCTGGCGGCTCCCCTTAGGGGTGCTGAAACCAGCGCCCCGCCTGAGACATCCTCACAATCTGCTATGAAAGCCAAGGATGTTGAGCATGAAAACGAGCAAACCGCCTGAGACATCCCCACAAACTGGCCGCGAACGGGCCCGTGATATACCCCCTGGCGGCTCCCCTTAGGGGTGCTGAAACCAGCGCCCCGCCTGAGACATCCTCACAATCTGCTATGAAAGCCAAGGATGTTGAGCATGAAAACGAGCAAACCGCCTGAGACATCCCCACAAACTGGCCGCGAACGGGCCCGTGATATACCCCCTGGCGGCTCCCCTAGGGGTGCTGAAACCAGCGCCCCGCCTGAGACATCCTCACAATCTGCTATGAAAGCCAAGGATGTTGAGCATGAAAACGAGCAAACCGCCTGAGACATCCCCACAAACTGGCCGCGAACGGGCCCGTGATATACCCCCTGGCGGCTCCCCTCAGGTGCTGAAACCAGCGCCCCGCCTGAGACATCCTCACAATCTGCTATGAAAGCCAAGGATGTTGGGCATGAAAACGAGCAAACCGCCTGAGACATCCCCACAAACTGGCCGCGAACTGGCCCGTGATATACCCCCTGGCGGCTCCACTTAGGGGTGCTGAAACCAGCGCCCCGCCTGAGACATCCTCACAATCTGCCGTGCGTTGAGTAACTCAGACTATGAGAAGGTCTGAGTATGTGTGGGTCTGAGTATGAGTAAGTCTGTGTATGTGTACGTCTGGGTATGAGTAAGTCTGAGTATGAGTAGGTCTGAGTATGAGAATGTCTGAGTGTGCATAAGTCTGTGTATGAGCAAGTCTGGGTATGAGCAAGTCTGAGTAGAGGAGGAGAGGAGGAGGAGGAGAAGAGGAAGTAGGAGGCGTCAAAGTAATAACAAGAACCCCATCTTAGGATATGGGGAATAAAGAGGTCCGAGCTCTAGAACACAGCTGCGCAAGAAAATAGGACCCAATCTGAAAATGCGAAGCGAACTAGCGCTGCTAACACCCCACGACGACTGGACTGCCAGAGTGCAAGACGGCCCCGCCAAAAGAAAAACCATCGTCGGCGCTAAGGCGAGAATCATATTTTGGAGAGAATGTGCGCGGCGCTACAGCGAGAGGCCGAAATTGGAAAGATGTGGCTCCCAAGACCGCCACCCCAGAATCCCCCGCCCTCCGTCGGCAAGAACCCGAGCTCCTGCGAACTCTAGGCTCACGCTTCCCCGACGCAGGCCGTGTGAAGCCTGGGAGCAGGCCGGACCCAGCGGGACGACGCTGAATCGAGCGGGATGAAGCCGCTGGAGAAAGCGACCGCAACCCAAATCAGGCCAATTGTTTGTTTGACCTGGGATGTGCCAGCGCAGGCTCTGAATCGAATGAACCGGAAAAAGGACCCCTAGCCCTGAGGGAGGGGATCTGAGTTCTGAGGGCCACAACATTAAGGATGTCCTCCTTTCTGCAGATGTACCGAAACAGACCGACAATAATCATGATCCCTAGTGCGAAGACGGGGGCCTTAGTGAGGCCACGTCTTATCGTGTAAGTAGTTTGGGGGTTCTTTTGCTCTCGATGAAATACGACCTCCTAATTAGGCGCTGCGTCCGAAGACTGGCGGCGATCCATGGGGGAGAAGTCCGACGGGGCCGGGCCATGCTCGGAAGGCTCGGGAGGCCTCCGACCTTCCGGGAAGCTTTTCCTAAGCCTCGCCCAAAACCGCAACGACCTTCTCAGAAGGGCGCGGGGGGTTCTGAGAGACCCCGCCGCCTGCTGAGAGGGCCTCCTCTTTCTCACTTCCGCCAGTGGTAGGGAGGCCAACATGCACTTCTTTTCGCCAGCGGCAAGGCAGGGGCAGTCTGCTCCAGCGTGTGGCTACTCGGTTCCTCTCCACTTCCTCCCTTGTCTCGCCGCCGATAAGTCATCGTGTTTCCCCCGAGTACCAGCCCGTGCAGGTTCACGAACAGAGTGTGGGAGAACCCGGCGAGGCTGACGGTGAAAGCCACCAGCCGCGCGACGATGCCCGCCCGGCCCCCTCTTTGCTGGGGCGCCCTTGGTGTGACCAGGACGGGAGTAACCTCATGGAAAAATTCGCTCCAGACCCAGACCCCCTCGAGGAATGAACAAAAAACACAAGGGCAGGATTTTCGATAGTTTCGGCCTTTACCGGCCCTCGGGGCAGTGAAAAACGACTCAGGATAAAAAACCGTTCCCGGGGAAAGGGTCGAGACCTCTAGGGGTCGACGTTACGAACAAATCATGACGTCGGGGGTCTCGGGATACGACGTCCTCAATATCTACCGGCCCTCGTTTCTCCCGCCCGCGTGGAACATTAGAAGATCCGGAAAATCCTGGAAATATCTGGAAACTCTCTTTCTCATGCCCTCCTGCTCCTCCGAACAGTGACGCAACCGGACGGCGAACATGTCCGTATCCGCGCCCTCGCGGTCTGGATTCTGGGGCGCGATCCCGCGGATGTGCGGTCGCCCGGGTAATTACACTCCGCGCGCGCGGGGCATCCGCGAAAAAGAAACGCCTCGTACGGCGGGGGCGCGACACAGGGGCCGGCCCGCGAGGGCGCGGATACGGATATGCTTTTCGCCTACGATATTAGGAGACACCTTGCTTTTGTTGCAGCCATTTTTCGAATGCAATTTTGGGAAAACTGAAGGGAATGACAACGCGAACCGCTCCCGAATTGACTCCCGAGCGCAGTGAGCTCTGTGAGCAAAGCAACTCAACTCTAAAGCGAAGCTACGTAGAAGAGCCAATCGACTCTCATGAAGCACCTCCTGGGAGGTCTTCGTGAGAACGGGTAAGGGCTCGAGTAAAGGGCCACTAAACCAGGAAGGTCAGATTAAGCGAGGGATCATACGGATGAATGGGGATTAAGCCAGATTGGGCCCGTTTCCGAACACGGATATGCCGCGGATGCTGCATCCCACCAGCCCTTTAGGGCGTGAGTGGTCAAAGGAGCTCTTTCTGCTAACCCACTTCGTCCCATTCGGAGAGAGGGTTCCCCCTCCGCCTATCCCCTACCCCTGGGTCTGGACGGGGAGTTGCGAGGGGTTGGAGCATCGAAGATGTCCCCAGGTGTCTCCAAGAGGGCCCCAGAGAGCTCAAGATGGCCTCCAGGATCGCTCAAGATATCCCGAGTTAGTTTAATATAGCCTCCAACATGCCTCCCAAAGCCTCAAGACCGCCCCAGAACGGCTCTAACTGTTCGCAGAGCCTCCCAAATCGTTCAAAGATGGTTTCTCCCCACACCCAAAGTTAGGTCTCTGTTTTCTGGACACCCCCCGCGCAGTACACTCCTCACCCCCTCCCCTCCCCTATTCTGTTCTCCACTCACCGACTCGCAAAACCATCATCGTTAGCATCAGCATTAGTATCATCATCACCCCATTATCATCAGCATTATCATCACCACACCATATCCATCATTATCAGCAGCAGCATCATCAGCAGCATCAACATCATCAGCGTCATCACCACCACAACCACCACCATCATCATCGGCATCAGCATCAGCATCATCAGCATCGCCCTCATCTTCATCATCATTATCACCATCGTCAGCATCAGTAGTATTACGATTGTCATTATCAGTGTCATCATCACTAGCGTCCTCAACAGCGTCCTCCTCGCCATCATCATCAGCATCGGAATGAGCATCAACACCATCAGCATCTTCATCATCAGCATCTCCGCCACCATCACCACCACCATCAGCATCATCATCACCAGCACCAATGCACGCAATGCAGCTCCCGCCTGGAGCCCGAGCACAGTCAGCCTCCAGCATGGGTTCTCGCTCTTCGGCACACCTTCAGGTAACGCCACGCTCGCTCGCTCACCATCACCATCATTACCATGACCGTCATCATCATCATCAACAACATCAACATCACCATCATCACCACCACCAGCATCATCATCCTCACCATCATCACCGTCACGATCACCATCACCATCGCTCAAAATCATCATCATCATCATCTTCTTCTTCTTCTTCATCATCATCATCATCATCATCATCATCATCATCATCATCATCATCATCGTCTTCGTCGTCGTCGGCGTCGGCGGTCGCGGTCGGCATCGTCGCCATCATCACTCTCTGAAGCACTCGCTCACTCGCTCACTCACTCACTTACCCACTCACTATCATCAGGGCCCCCGAGGCTTGAATCCTCAGGAAGTCTCAGGCGGGAGTCCTCTCCATATGTGGGGCCCGTCCTTCGCATTTTTAATCCCAGAGGGCCACTCGAAACCCGGACCTGTCGTCACTTTTGAGCTCCCGAGGCTTGGACCTTCACGAAGTCTCAGTCGGGAGCCTTGTCTGTGAGTGAATTGCGAGGGCACTCTCAGGCGGAACCCCCCTCCATATGGGTGCCCGCAATTAATGCTTCAATTCCAGGATGTCGCTCGAAGACTGTACTTAGCCGTCGTCACTTTTGAGCTCTTGAGGCTTGAATCTTCAGGATGTCCCAGGCTGTGGCCTTGTGTTTCCGCGAATTGCGAGGAAGTCTCAGGCGGAAGCCCTCCCCCCATGGGCCCCGCACTTCATTGTTTCAGGGCACCACTCGACATCTGTAAGTCTTGTCCCTGCTGAGCTCCTGGGGATTAGTAGAGGGGAACGGAAGTCTTGAGGCGGAGACTGGTCTGTTAATAAGTTGTGGGGAAGTCTCGAGCGGGAACCCCCTCCCCATGGGGTCCGCACCTTATATGTTTAACGCCAGGGATGGGACGCAACGGAGGTGAGGATTATACCCAGGCCAACTACAGAGATCCACCGGCCCCCTTGTGGGGCCACCAGGCTGTAGGACGATTACCAGTTGAGGTCCCACGTCGGAGAAACCGTTCAATGGTTGTTGCCTTCTCACGTTTTCGCTTCCGATGGACTGTGGACGCCTCACGATGGTTCCAAGATGGCCCGAGAGGGGCCAAAGAGTGCCCAAATACGGCCCAGAGAGTGCAGAACGAGCGCCCCGAGAGGGCCCCAAGAGGCGACTTCGAGGGCCCGACGAGGGGACTCAGATCGACGCCGCGCCCTTCTTTGAACGACGGCTTCCGAGAGGACCCCACGAGGGCTCCACGCTCCACTTCACCTCTCGGAGCCCCCCCTCCCCTGGCGACTGCTCCTGGATGGGCCGGGAAGGATGCGCGCCAGCGTAGAGCACTGGACATCCCGGGAGTGGCACCACCATCAGACACTTGCGTCCTGTCCTCAACCTTTTGCCCCTTTTCCCTCCAGTCGCTTCTCTTGAGTGCTGCCGACTTTCGGCGGCCCAAGGAGGAAACCAAGGCTGCCTGGGGAAGCTTCCAAGACGGCCTCCGAAGGCCACGAGGCCCACAAGGTCCCAGGAGACCCCCAAGAAGCACCTCAAAGTCCCCAATGAGGGTTCCAGGATGCCTCTAGGAGGACCCAAGAGGGCCTCAAGAGAATCCTCTACCTCCTCCGCTCCCTCTTCTTCTTCCTCCTCCTCCTTTTTCCTCCTCTGCCAAGTGTTTCCCCAGGGGTTCCACAACGGCTGGCGGACCATTTATCCCAATAAGTTTGATCAGACGTTGGCCAAACGTGTGGCCGCACGGGCGTTTCCAAAAGGTAGGGGGAGGCGGTGGTTCGCTGTAGGCGTCTTCGCTAATAATTCGACGGCGGAAGCGTCCACCGCCGCAGTAGAACGACCAGCAGAAATGCGAAGAGGACGGTGCCATAGCACAGAAAGAGAACGAAAGACTTCAAATTCCGGAAGCCGACGCACTGCCCAGCGAAGTTGCAGTGGTGGTCCATCCAGAGGCAGCATGTGTCGCATACGGAGCAGTGGTGGGCCAGTGCAGGCTTCCACCTGTCGCACCTGTCGCACCAACCATCCTTAGCGTCGAACTTGCGCTTCCGGCCCCACCTTGGCATGAAGCAAACGTGTCCTGAGGGAAACAGGCCCTGGACCACAGGACCTGCCATTGGTCAATTCCTCATCTCGACTCGTTTCCTTCATGAACCTGGGGAAGGAAGGGTCATGGGAGCCCGAAAACAATAATCCGGGCGAAACACCCAACCATACGCCGTCGTGAGTACTGTCATTGATTGCGGGCATCGCCTTCGGAAGATCTCCTCATGGGGCCATGAAGCATGCGAAGGGTGCGCCGCAATGGCGCGTGGCTGCCACTGGGGCCTTCGCTGAAGCTCCCTGTGGGGCCACGAAGCGCTGTACTGAGTCGGAGAGACACGCGAACACAGCCACTGGTGCCCTCGGTGAAGCTCTCTATGGGGCCACGGAACGCTGTACTGGGCGGGGGAGGCGCAGGCGAATGCCGCCACTGGGACCGTTTGTGGAGCTCCCCATGGGGCCACGAAGCGCTGTACTGAGTCGGGGAGACGCAAGCGAACACCGCCACTGGGACCTTCGGTGTAGCTCCCCATGGGGCCACGAAGCGCTGTGCTGGACGGGGGAGACGCATGCGAACACCGCCACTGGGGCCTTCGGTGAAGCTCCCCATGGGGCCACGAGACGCTGTGCCGGGCGGGGGAGACGCATGCGAACACCGCCACTGGGGCATTCAGTCGAGCTCAATATTGGGCCGAGAAGCGCTGTGCTGGGCAGGGGAGACGCATGCGAACGCCGCCACTGTGGCCTTCGGTAGAGCTCCCCTGGGGGCCACGAAACGCTGAACTGGGCAGCCGACTGGGTGGGGGGGACACACGCGAACGCAGCCACTGGTGCCTTCGGTGGAGCTACCTGTTCGACCATGAAACGCTGTACCGGGTGGGGGAGATGCATGCGAACACTGACACTGGGTCCTTCGGTGGAGCTCCATATTGGGCCGCGAAGCGCTGTACTGGGCGGGGGAGACGCATGCGAACACCGCCGCTGGGACCTTCGGTGTAGCTCCCCATGGGGCCACGAAGCGCTGTGCTGGACGGGGGAGACGCATGCGAACACCGCCACTGGGGCCTTCGGTGAAGCTCCCCATGGGCCGCGAGACGCTGTGCCGGGCGGGGGAGACGCATGCGAACACCGCCACTGGGGCATGCGGTGGAGCTCCATATTGGGCCGCGAAGCGCTGTGCTGGGCGGGGGAGACGCATGCGAACGCAGCCACTGTGGCCTTCGGTGGAGCTCCTTAGGGGGCCACGAAACGCTGTACTGGAGAGCTGACTGGGTGGGGGAGACTTACGCGACCACAGCCACTAGTGTTTTCGGTGGAGCTACCTGTGGGACCATGAAACGCTGTACTGGGTGGGGGAGATGCATGCGAACACCGACACTGGGTCCTTCGGAGAAGCTGCCCATGGGACCACGGAAGGCTGCACTGGGCGGGGGAGACGCATGCGAACACCGACACCGAGGCCTTCGGTGGGGCTCCCCATGGGGCCACGAAGCGCTGTACTGAGTGGGGGAGACGCGTGCGAACACCGCCACTACAGGCCTTCGGTGGAGCTCCCTATGAGGTCACGAGGCGCTGTATTGACCGTGGGAGACGTATGCGAGCACCGCCACTGGGACCATCGGCGTGAGCCCCCTATGGGGCCACGAAGCGCTGTACTGTGTACGCTGCAACGGTGGACATGCGGAAGGCAGAAGCAGGAGGCAGGGGTTGGAGGATGGGGAGGAGGGAGAGGGGGGGGGAGCAGGAGAGGAGGAACGCGGGGCGCAGTCTGTTCAAAACGAGGACCCAACACCGCGGGATGTTTGGGAATGAACAACATCCGGACCCGTGTCCCTCAAGATCCGCTCCCAGTCATCCGTCGATGTGATTCCTTCCGATGCGCGGCTCCAGAAGAAAAAAAACGCTGTTTCAAGGGTAGTTTTAGGTCGCAGGTCTAATTCTTGATGGCCCTAAGGCCCGATAGCGGGCCCCAGAGTCAAAATCGAGGAAGACGCCGTTCTTGAAGATATCATTCTGTCGGAGATCCCAGGGGGACAAACCGACACCGATACCGCTACTCCCCAGACGTCTCCCAGGGTGCGTCCTCAGCCACGAAGGAGTTTCGATGTCAATCCAGCGGTGGTCACGAGGGCATCCTAGGAAGCCCAAGCATGCCAAAGCGAAGAGGAGTACTGTCAGACATGTTGGGGCAACCTGTCGCCCTGGCGGCCCCGGCGGCACGCCCTCCCTTGCGAGAGGATAGCGCGTCGCTCCGCTCCGCGGGGCGGGAGTCTCGGAGAGGCTCGGGACGCTAATGAAACCTGGGGACTGGGAAGGGCAAAGCGTGCCGCGCCGAAGCGTGGGCCAGAGAGACCCGGCGGAGCGAGACGGTATCCAAAAATTACCGACCGTAGCGGCATGGGTACCGTTTACCTCCTCTGCGATCTGAGCTTGCTCCACCGTGGCCCACCTGCCGACCTTTGAGCAGGGTCCGACCGTCCCAGCATTCCTATAGTCCTACCACGGAATGTTATTATCGTCTTAGAGCCCCCAAATGTTCTAAGAACAAGACCGATGTTCTTAGAACGTGAACCCGATGTGACAAAACAAGACGGCCTCCGCCCGAGATGCTCTAAGAACATCTCGTGGAAGCCACGAGAGGTTCTTGGAGCATGGCTTGGTAGGGCCATGGGCGAGCCAGGACGCTTCGCCGCTGCTCGAGACCTCCAGCGCGCGCCTGGCGCCCTCCGGCAGCTTCGAGCCCAGCGCCGCGGCCCTGGGCACCCGCCCAGGGCCGATGAGCACCACCCCGAGCCAGCTCGCGAGGAAGAGGGCGAACAGCGCGTGGCCCACCGCGCTCAGGAGCTGCACGGCCGGCTCCTCCGGCGGCACCACCTGGGCCAGCACTCCCTCGACCCCAGCCCGCCCGGCAGGGCCACTGGCGAGGCCCCTTGCTGCGCACAGACATCCCCCCTCCTCCTCCTCCGCCACCTCCTCCTCCTCCACCTCCTCCTCCTCCTCCTCCTCCTCCGCCTCCTCCTCCTCTCAGGTAGTCCTTGCTCGCCTCGACAGGCCCCCGAGTTGCCCGGGGCTCCCTGAGCACTCTGGCGCTGTCTTCGGCGGCGCCCCCAGGGCCGGGGTGTTGAGACCGGCCCAAGCTACAATTGGACCAAGCATCCTTCAAGAGCACGAGACCTCCCGTCGGCCAGAACAAACAGAACATCCAGGGGTACCCTCCCCACGGATGCACAAGAACATCCAACAAACACGAAAAAACACGAGGTCAGCCCCTCGGTCCGACCGCACTCGGGGGGGGCCAGCCGGGACTGCCTGAGGTCGCAGTCCGTGCGCGGCTCGATGGCTCAACACAGTGGCCTTGGCCCCAGTGGCCCATCCCCACCTGGATCGGGTGAGCTGCTGGGGCTGAGATGACAAGGCCTCGTGGGGATGGGGACCGGTTTGGCTAGAGGAGTGCCACTATGCTCAAAAATCCGCCGACCCAGTCGGCGTGTGTGAGAGGCCCTTCGACGCGAGGCCAGCCCAACCCGAACTGAAGTACGCCAGCCTCTTTGGAATCATCGACGTCGTAAGGGAGATCGAACAAACAAGGGTGAGCGAACAATGTCGTCAAAACGTCGGAAGGACACTCCTTCCCATTGTCCCTTCCTTGCCGGGGGGGGGGCTGGGGAAGGTCCAGGTGGGTGGTCGCGGGGGGGTCCCACGGATGGTCATGGGGATTGTGACCCCTCCCCCGCTGGGGGTTTGCCCCGTCGGTTTTCGCTTCAAATACGCCAGCCTTCTTCTAATCGTCGTCGTCGTGAGGGAGATTGAACAAACAAAGTGTATCGAGCATTGTCGTGATTACGTCGAAGCAAGGCCCCGTCCCTTTGTCCTTTCCCCGCGGGGGGGGGGCAGTAGTCTAACCCCAATTGGATGGGCTATACCCTGGATGGACGGACTATACCCTGGTTGACCAGGAGACACCACTCTGGAATGCAAGCTTCGGAAAACTTTCTGACATCGATTTCGATGTTTAGCCATCTCTCGAAAGTCTGGAGTGCAAATGGTGTACAAGGGAACACATGGTTTCTTGGGGTAAACAACCGGGGGGATGACCCATCCCGAGACATGATATATTGATCGGACTGCATATATATGAGTGGCCGATGTGAAACGTACACCCACGTATATGAGTGGCCGATGTGAAACGTTAACAATTCCTATGTGAAGCGCATACGAACCCGATGTGAAACGCATGCGTCTCCAGTGAAAACCGTGGACGACTACTAGGTGAAGCGTAAACGGTCCTTATTTGAATCGTACAGGAACTTGTGTGAATCGCATACGAATCAGATGGAACATCTATGCGGTTCTAATGCGACTCGTGTACGGCTCCAACGTGAATCGTATGCGATTCGTATGTGCAAGATTCCTACGTGAATCGTGTACGAATGCAGTATGAATCGTATACGGCTCCAATGCGCAGCGTGGACGGCTCCCATGTGCAACGTACACGGATGATATGTACACCGTACGCGAATCTTACGTGAGCCGTATACAATGCCAATGTCAATCGCATGCGCGTCCAATGTGAATCGTAAACACATTGTTGTGGATTGCAGACGATTTCTTTCTGAATCAGATACGGCTCCGATGTGCAGCGCAAGCGATTATGATGTGGATCATGTGCGGCTCATAAGTGAACCCTAAACAACTCCCAGGATAACTGTATACGGGGCCAACGAACATCACAAACGAATCCGATATGACTCGTATACGATTCCCACTCGAACGATTCACGCACCGATTTGATTTGACTACGGCTCCTATGTGAATCGCATTGCGAATCGTATACGAATCTCATGCTAATCGTATACGATCCCTATGGCAATCGTATGCGGCTTCGATGTGAATCGTAAACGGAACCAGAGCCAACCGCATACGATCTCAAGATGCATCGGGTAATGCTCCTATGTGAAGCGCACATGCGTGCTGTGTGAGTCGTACGAATCGTATACAGTTCGTATGCGCGTCCTATCCAACTCCAAGCTACAGAATCCGAAAGCACCCTGATAACACCTAAGACACCCTCAGGAACTCTGACAGGATCCGTGGGCCCGCTGAGGTTCCCTGAGCCCGAAAAAACAGCGAGCAACCTCCAGGACCAGTTTCCCTCAGAACCCTTTGCTACATGAGCCATCATGAAACTGACGTAGAGAGCAAAGGGGCTTTGACGGCCACGGCGAACCGCTGCCTCAACAGGGCCTCCAGACTCTGACCCAAGGAACGAACAGTTCGAGAATCACAGCCCCTCCCGAGCCAAAGGTGTTCCTCCGACTCGTCCTCCGCGTCCTCCTCCTCCCCCTTGTCCCCCGCCTCCTCCTTCTCCTCCCCCTGCCCCCCCCCAGGCACAACGTCCCAACTGCGGCCGTCGGTACGTCCCGCGACGACGACGACGACGAGGGAGGAGAACGACGAGGAATGAGGGAGGAGGATTTGGGTTTGGTGTTTGGTGCTTGGATTTTCGTGTTTGGGGTTTGGAGATTGGGGTTTGGTGTTTGGTGTTTGGTGTTTGGGGTTTGGTGTTTGGTGTTTGGTGCTAGGGGTTTGGCGTTTGGGGCTTGTTGTTTGGCGTTTGGGGGTTGGGGTTTGTTGTTTGGGGGTTTGGTGTTTGGGTTTCCGGGTTTGTTGTTCGGGGTTTGGTGTTTGGTGGTGCTTTGTGTGTGTGTGTGTGTGTGTGTGTGTGCGGGCGGGCGGGCGGGCGGGCGGCGGGCGGGCGGGCGGGCGGGCGGGCGGGCGTGCGTGCGTGCGTGCGTGCGTGCGTGCGTGCGTGCGTGCGTGCGTGCGTGCGTGCGTGCGTGCGTGCGTGCGTGTGCGGGGTTTTGCGGGGTTTTGAAGGTTCCAAGCGGGGTGTAGCCCAGCTTCGCAAGGGTATAGCTCGTCCAGCCAGAGTATAGCCCGTCCAGCCAGGGTGTAGAATTCGGCCAGGGGGAGGGGGATCGCGGGGAGTGGTCCCTAGGGTGGTCCCAGGGAGGTCGCGGGGGATGTCACTCCTCCCCCGCTCGGGGCCTCCCCCCTCGGTTTTCGCCTCCCAGACGCCCACCCCCGAGGAGACAAACGGTTCTCCTCCTCCTCCTCCTCCTCCCTCCTCCTCCTCCTCCTCCTCCTCTCCCTCCCCCCCCCCCCCTCCCCTCCCTCCTCCTCCTCCTCTCCTCCTCCTCCTCCTCCTCCTCCTCCTCCTCCTCATCCTCTTCCTTGTCCACGTCCTCCTCCTTTTGCCAGTGCTCGGACATTAGGGTTAAAACCTCCTCCTCCTCCTCCCTCCTCCTCCTCCTCCTCTCCTCTCATCCGCCTCCTCCTGTCCCTCCCACGCTCCCTCCTCCTCCTCCTCCTCCTCCTCCTCCTCCTCCTCCACCTCCTCGTCCTCCTCATCATCCCCCGTTCTCCCCTCCCTCCACCGCCCGCCCTATGTCCCGAGCCTGTGGCAGGGTCATCAGCTCGTCGTTGTCGTTGTCGTCGTGGTCGTCCTTCTGGGTCGACGGCACTGGCCGTAAGGCCTTCACAAAAGCCTGCCGGACTCCGCGCACATCTCTTGAGCCAGTGCTGGGCCCCCCGGGCGCTCCGAAAACTTCCGTGCATGCCGTCGTTCTTCCTCCCCGACAGACGACGCGGACCACCAACTCCTGCACCACGTACACGTAGCCGAGGGCCTTTCGGCCACACGCAAGAGTGACCCTGGGTAGGAGTGACCTTTGGTGCGCGGCTTCTTGGAGGGCCGCGGGGGGGCCAACCACGAGCGCGCAGGGCGCCACCAGATCGCAGCGCGCTCGGCGATCGGGGGACCCGCCCGTGCCCGCACCAAAGCGCCACTCCGGCGACGGGCCACCCCTGCGTGTGGCCGAGCCTTGCAGACCAGCACCACGGGCACGATCAGCAGGTCCCTGTGAAAACAGGGCCAGGATCGGGACAAATCGCTCCAGAGCGTTCCGGAGCGCTCCCAGAGCGCTCCGGGACGCTCTGAGAGCGGCCGCGGCGCCCAACACATCCTCCAAACCCGCCGACTCTCCCAGACCCCCGACGTCATGAATTTTTCATGACGTCGACCCCCAGCGGTCTGGACCCTTTCCCCGGGACCGGTTCTTCGTCCTGAGTCGTTTTTTGACGGTCCCGAGGGCCGGTAAGGGCCCCAAAAGGCCAAAAATAATGAAAAACCTCCCGTCGTGATTTTTTCACGACTCGAGGGGGTCTGGGTTCGAGGTATCCCCATCCGGTTTTGTCCCGATCTTCGCGCCGTTTGACCTGTGCCGCCGCTCCGCGAACCGCCACCACCGCTCCGCGCACCGGCCCGCGGCGTGCCTCCGGGCCTTCTCGCCCCCGCTCTCCATTGGCCGCGTGCGCCGGGCGGGGGCGCCCGCGGGCCCCGCGCGCCGCGGGCCGCAGGGGGGGCCCGAGGTGCAGCGGCAGCGGCGCAGCATCGCGAGCGGCGGGTAAATCCGTAGACTTCAGCCGGGCCTGCACGGAAACAGAAGAATATAGTGAGCAAGTGCCCGAACAGGGCGAAACAAGAACTCAATGAGAGCGTCCCCACTGTCTTTGTCTCTGGGGGGGGGGGGGGGCAATTTTTGAACATCCCTCCTGTCGACCCGCGCCCTCGTGGCCTGGATTCCAGAGCGCGACCCCGGGGAATGCGAAGGACGCGCGGACACGTTCCGCGCGGTGGGCATCCGCGGAGGAAACGCCCCCAGTTGCTGCGGGTTTGCGGCCTTGAAGTGCCCGGCGCGCGAGCCCGCAGATGCGGATATGTCTTGCGCCCACGAGCATCAGGTCGGGCGCGCCCCCCCACACGCGGATTTTGAAAGAAAAACAAAAACAAATAGCCCACCAGTGCCCCCAAGTGGTCAAACATAGTAAACGAAATCGCCCCCAGACTGTTTGTTGACTATTGCTGAATATCCCCCCTGCAGAGGGACATGCACGACGTAGCACGACCAGGAGGCTGGTGAGGAGGTGGCGGAGGATCGAAAGCAGGGGAGGGGGAGTGAGTGGTGGTGGTCGCTGCGCAAGAAGGACTGGGGCCACGAGCAGAGAAGAAGCACGCACCACGGCCACGGCGGCGGCGAGGACGACTGCGGAGACGAGGCGCGCCACCCTGTGAGGCTTGGTACACAGCACATGCCTTCATGAACAGGATCCAAGAGCGGGGCAAATGTGGAAGTGGGGCCGACGATTCTCGACGATAGAAACGACGCCTGCGTATGCTCCCGGATGGCTGTCATCTGGATGACCTGTGCCATTCCCGGGAAACGCGCGCGGGACAGCCACGTAAGCTCGAAGGGACGGACGTGATGCGGGGCAACAGAGCTGCAAGGCCAATTACCCCTATCCTCGTCGTAGTACTCCACGAGGCGGACTATGTGCGGATGATCCTCGCGCGTGCAATGCGAGCAAAGGGTCATGCCTCAAAGTTCGACCACCAGCGCGCAAATGCCATTCTAACGAAAGACCAACAGTCAACCATAAGAGGGCAAACCTGCATGGCAGTGGCATTTGCACAGCGATGTGTATTATTGATTCGCGAACGTATGGACAGTATGAGGCACTTCTCCCCCTCCCCTTGCCTTCCCTACCCCTCATGTCCTCTCCTGCCGTCATTCCTCCTCCGACTCGTCCGACTTTTCCGACTCCTCACTCCATGCTTCTCATTCCTCACTACTTCTGCTCCTCCTCCTCCTCCTCCTCCTTCTTCCTCCTCCTCCTCCAACTGGCTCAAGTCCTCGGCCTCTGGGGGCCGAGGACACCAAAGCATTTCACTCCTGGTCAGGTCCAGAAGCTTGGGGCTCGAACATTTCGTGTTCGCTTCCGCCCCCAGAGTTTTTCGGATCATTCCCCACCAGTCTGCCATGCCTGCCACTCTTGCGAAGGAGCACCTCTCCATCGTGATCTGCGGGCATGTCGACATCGGCGAGAGCACTACCACCGCCCGCCTCAACTACGACCTGGGCGGCCTTCCGCAACGCGAGCTGGAGAAGCTGAAGGAGGAGGCCGTATGCCTAGTACCAGGCCCCATCGCCTTCACGTTCTACATGGACCGTCAGAAGGAGGAGCACGAGTGCGGGGTGACCAGCGCCAGCACCACCCAAGACTTCTACACCGAGAAGTGGCACTACACGGTCGTCATCGATGCCCCAGGCCATCGCAATATCAACAAGGTCGCTAACCTGCAGAAGAAGGCTGACAACGTGGGCTGGTGGAAGAGCTGCAATGCCAAGTACGGCAAGGACTGCGCCACCCACAGATACAAGCAGTTCCGCTATGCCGAAATCGGAAACAACTGAAGTTCATGTTGGTCAAGGACGGGTGGTACAAGGACTTCGAAGAGAAGGAAACGCCTGTGATGCCAGTCTCCGGCCGGATGGGCGACTACCTGCTAACGAAGTCTGACAACATGGACTGGTGGAAGGAATGCGTCGGCGAGTACGGCAAGGCCCGTGCTACGCAAAACATCCATCATAAGTCTGGATGGTTTTACCTTTCTCCGCTTGCCGCCGGAGGCAAGCCATGCTGCAATTAGGGCTCGCTCCTGGCCTTTGCATTCCGCTGCCCATTGGTGCATAAGAATCGTGGGAGAGGCCCGTGGGATTAGTCTTCCCCGCTCTCCGTGATGAGCCGTGGTCTGCATCTGTGTTGCTTTGAATTTCTTGTCTTGTGCACTATTGCGGTGTGCACCCGTGCAGTCGTCTTGTTTCTAAGTGGCACTGTGCTTAGTATGTGTTGCCCAGTCGATCAAAGCTTGTAAAAGACAGACCGTAGAAGTCAGTAAATCAGGTTGAGAGCTTCCCAAAAGGGTGGTGCTTCCCTGAAAATCATGCACGGCAGCCCTGACAGAAGGGAGTGGCTCGGCGATTGGAGCTCCGCCGAGTCCTACGGCCCATCCCCACAGCGGGATCCCTGGCCGCGGGCGGCTAGTAGTCACCAGGCGAACGCCCCCTCCACCACGCGCTAATCCTCCTCCTCCTCCTCCTCCTCCTCCTCGTCCTCCTCCTCCTCCTCCTCCTCCTCTTCCTCCTCCTCTTCCTCCTCCCTTCTCCATCCTCACTCCTCACTCCTCACTCCTCACTCTTCACTCCCCACTCCTCAACCCTCAACCCTCACTCATCCTCCTTCTCCTCCTCCTCCTTCTCCTCCTCCTCGTGCTCCTCCTCCTCCTCCTCCTCCTCCTCCTCCTCCTCATCTCACTCCTCCTCCTCCTCCTCCTTCTTCTCCTCCTCCTCCTCCTCCTCCTCCTCCTGCTGCTCTTCCTCCCTCCCTCCCTCCTTCCCTCCCTCCCTCCCTCCGACGACAGCGGCGGCGAGGACGACGGCGGGGCAAAGCGACGGCGGCCAAACAACGGAGGGCGGGTCCAAAGCCATGAGCGCATCGAGCTCGTTCTTTCTGGACTTCCGCGGAGGGCGGGCGTCCCGGACGGGGCCCCACCCCCTCCTCCCCCCCCCCCCTCCCTCCAGCTCCCCCTCCTCTCGTAAGACAAGAGCCGGTCGAGACAGCCGCGGCCCGGTTGGGCGTTGTTCATTTCATTCTCTCGAGGCCTGCCAGAAGCCTCTCGTCGCCAAAGCTAGATCCAGGGGGGGGGGGGGGAAAGTCGGGGATTCATTATTTAGGGGAACAAGAAATGGCATAAATATAAAGACTTGGAGGTCCGCGCGGACCTCCGCCGAGATTCTATGTTTATGTCATGTTTCGTTCCCATTTTTCGGGGGGGGGGGGGAGGGGCGATCAGTGTGGGGGGGAGACACGTGCACCTCTCGTGCCCCCGTTGGGCGCAAATGGCCCCTGTAGGGCCCCTCTCGGGAACAAAAGGCGCACTCGTCTCCCCCCCCCCCCACACACACACACTTCATCGCACCCACCGCTCGACGCCCGAAAACACTGCCACGTGAGGGGTCAAGGGGCCGATCTCGAGCGGAGCTGGGCTGGCTGGAAGAGCCGCCGCTGTCTCACCCGGCTATGCTCCGATCCTCGCCCCAGAAGGGGGGGAGGCCTCAGGATGACATGCGGGGGGGGGGGGCGCAGGGGTTCTGGTGGCGATATCGTCCGCCGCTCTCCTCCCTCCCCCACTCTCTTGATGCCGCTCTTGCATGGCCAAATGCCGTGCAAATCAACTCTTGCTTGGGCAGGATGATTTGCAATCGGACCTGGGTCAGAAGAACATCCCTCAAGAACGTCGAACCCTCCGTCGGCCGAAACAAACAGAACATCTAAGGATACACTCCCCAGGATGCACGAGGGCATCCAACAGACACGAATAACATTAGGACACCCTCCCTGACCCGCCCTCGATCTTCTAATTACCTCGGTCCGGTTGTATGTGGTCGGTGAGGGGTGACATGACACCGGCCGCTCGCCTCCTCGACTCCCCCTCCCTTTTGATGCCGCTCCCGCATGTCAAAATGCCGCACTGCTGATGCACTGTCTCGGGGGGGGGGTTCTTCGGAGATTCCCGGAGGTCCTCAGGGGGCACACTTACAGTCGGACCCGGGCCAGGATGACATCCCTCCAGAACCGGAGACCCTCCGTCGGCCAAAACAAGCAGAACATCCAAGGGTACCCTCCCCAGGGTGCACAGGAACATCCAACAAACACGAAGAACATTAGGGTACCCTCCCCAAACGACCTCGATCGTATACCTCGATACGACTGTACACGCACAGTGACCTAGATCGTCGTCGTCGTTTCGTCTCCGACGTCGTCGTCGCCGCCACCGTCCTCATCCTGCCTCGTTAATCGCCCCCCTACCTCTGTTGGGGTGTGGCCTGGCCACAGTCCGGAGGCGACTCCGGCCGCGGTGAGCTGCAACCCCAGCCGCTGCCGCCGCCTGACTGCCTACCAGACCACCCCAACCCATCCCGAGGACCCGAATTTGACCCGAATTTCGGGTTGGGGGAAGGTACGGGTTCCATGTGTCTGTCCAATGTTCCCCGCCCCCCCCCCACACTGGAAACGGAGGGCAAATCGAGGCCTTCGGGTTGGGTTGGGGTGGTTTGGTGAGTGGTGACCGCCGCAGCCGCCGATGTAGCCGCCGTCCCAGCCATCGTCGTGGGCGCCCAAGCTCGGCACGGCCGCCGCGCCGAGCCGTGCAACCCCAGCCCCGCGGGGCGCCTCCGTCGACGGGGAACGGCACGGGCGGGCCAGCTCAAGGGGGCTGGGGCCCTGCTTCCCCGGGTCAGTGCTGACCGGGGTCGGTCGGGCTCTTCAGGAGATCCTGCAAGATCCTGCAGGATCCTGCGCCCTAAGCTGGGTCAGTGCGCCAATGGCTATGCAGGGTCCTGCAAAATCCGCCGCTCTGGATGGCCCCGTTTGCATTGCCCCCCGCCCCGAGGCCTCGCCATCG